AAGCTCGATCGGGATTTGCCAACTTGAGATTTGTCTTTGGCGCCACCGCGATACTCGGTTGTCTATTATCGGTCGAGTGTATTCTGCAGCAGTTGGACCAGTTCTGCCATGCACCGTAGAGCCATGGACATAAGAAATCAGGATAGACTGCCGGTGTTCGAGCACCGCTATCGATGCCAAACTGCACGAGTCTGTTGGGGGAAATCGCAGAAACAATGCTAAGGTTATTTGCTGAGTTTTATGTAACCACGGTCGCCCGCTGGGATGAGTGGTCGGACTTCATAGATTTCGTAGATTGGTGTGGTGCGCGTTGCTTGCCAAGACAAGTAGTGCATGGATAAGGGTCACGAACGGTCAAACTAAGATCTGATATGAGGAAATGAAAACCCTGATCAGATAGGTTGCGTTAAGCTCCCTGTGTGAGGATATCGGGATCAGCCCAATCGACGGTTGTAGAGACTAATTGAAATGACTGATTGTCGTAAGCAGTAACTCTCGTGCATTTACCCAGTGTCCTTGAAGTCCTAATCAACACGAATTCACCATTTGCACCCTCACAATTAGTTGAGCAATTCGATGTGCCGTTTACTCCTTGATCTAAGTGGACAGCTGAAGGCTAACAACCAAAATCGCAATACCGAAGTGCATGGTTAATGATTGTAAAAACTGAACTGTTGGTAGATGGAACAATCGTGCGCAAGTGTCGACAGTATGGATCACTGGTTTACGATCACTTCTACTGTTGCAGCCTTATCTATCTTTCTACATTTTGCTACCCACAACCTCTCACCGTCATCGCACAGGCTCTTGACTAGCTGGTGTTTAAAGTAGTTGCGCACTGTCGAATTTGGCATCCGAAGGAATGGTTCTACCGGCGTCCAGTAAGGTAGCCAAGGTTGATGGGATTCATCGTTTGTGTTTTGATCGTGCACCACGGTCCACTGTTGTTTTGATCGACATTTGGATGGCTTCCTTGATTAACGTCCAGTGTTTACTGAGTCATTAGGCAAATGGTTGAACCGAAAGGCGACCAGAGAGTTCCGCTTCAAAAGCCGATTTGCAACAATCGCCTGCATTGTATTAGGGTTATCCGCTTCCAACGGTCTCTTTTACGGTTGTTTACCAGGCGTGAAGAGAGTTAAACTCGCAACAAAACATGATCCGTATCCATGTGTGCTGACCTATGACGCGTTTGACTCTATATGCGCTTACGCCCCGATGGGCGCGCGACCTCCTTGCAACCAGGAATCTGTTCTGTCTTCCATGATCGCGACTGCATCCCTGTTTGTATGTGTGTGTGTGTGTGTATGGTTATGGAAGCCAGGAATTTAACACAGCTTATTTAAGCTAAATTGTAGTAGCATTTCGGATCCCTCGTGCCAGCGTGGGTTAATGAGTTCAATGACACTGTGTGCACTGCGGATCGATTGACCCTGGGTTTTGTGGGCTCTTTTCACCTTTTCGGTCTAATTCTCCTGCTGGAAGTGAATGACCAGTCGTCGGTCATAAAAGAGCCTCTGTTCAGTTCTTGTATCCCATGAATGCGCACATGTACGCTCTAATGCCACGTGATCGCAGTCTACACCACTGTCCTCAATCTTTTTTCTCACCCAATCGAGTATAACCTAGTTTCAACCAGGTGATTGACTTACTGACTGATCGTGTCAGTTTCGAGCGTGAGTATTTAGGTGTACTTGTACTTTTGAGTGAATAACTCCTGCGTGAGGATAAGTCGGTTTTTGGGCTGTCTCTGATGATCACAGTCCACGTGTGGCAATCGGCGATAAGGTTCGCACGATTTAACACCCGTTTATAGTTCCACATTGGGATTCCAGGCCTAGTCGTTCCATATCCGCCTTGTCCGTGTTGCTCCAGATGTTCTGTTGTCCATCGAGTCGGCAACACCATCCACAGTAAGTTGCAGGAACTGGAGTCTGGCGCAAAAGTTGGCTGTCTGACCTTAGGAGCACGCGACCAAACCACTGAAGGTGCTGATGTTGTAGCATTTGGGGAAGCTCGTCAGTGTTTGAGTAGCGCCATCGAACCTCACGATTGAAAATCCGATCTCGCCAAGTTACTGTCGAGATGCGACGTAGCCGAGGGGTTGGCTATGGGCCACCAGATGCATCGTAATTGGTCGTTACTGTCATTTTTCTCAGATTATTCAATCAAAGTCCACACATCATGTTGGATATCCAAGTTTACTGAGGTATTACACGCTGGTGACCGATGCAGCGCTTTTCACATCCTTTCATAAAGCATACATAGGAACTTCGTAGACATTATTGCACGATACCTATCAGTACTTCACCCAACTACTTATCCCAAAAAATGGTACACTCTTGGCTCCTTTCCACCCCTCAGGACTCGACAGCAGACTTTCACGAATCGAACGACTCCGTATTCCGAACCGGTCGCACAGATTTCAAGAATCAGCTTTCCTCGGACGAGGTGGGAAATCCAGTTGTCGGGAATAGTGATCCTCCAGCAGTGAGCCAATTCCCTCTGCCAACGAACGTACTCAATTTCCCCTCCAGTTTGGATTTGTGATAGGCGACGGCGGAACACATAGTGTGCGTGTGAATGTGTCAGTCAGACAGCGCCCGATCCCGGTTACGACATTTGTGCATCTATCAGCCTACATTATTCATTCATTGACTTTTAATCTGATACGTTTAGCTTGTGCATTCAGATATTTACTCATCATTCTTATATTTCAGAATTGTTGATTCATAAAGATGCTGTGTGACGAACACCGCCAATTTCGTTTGTTCTGTTCAGTTTCTGTTTACCGGTCGGGACCGAGGTAGAACACTCACACACTCTGTGCTGCCGATTTACCACGGTAGCCAATTCTCTTTGAAGGAGTGAAACCTACACCCAAGATCATCAACAGTGCCTAGTGTAAGTGAAAAATTGAACGGGCTAAAAAGGCTTATCAGCAGTTGCATGTTTAGCCTTGGCTGCTTAACATGACAGCCGAAAGATATGGTTTGATGGTGTACATCGTCGCTCGTTCTGTTTCCTTCAAACATGCCCCATGCGGTTTTACCGCAAAGCCTTCACTGTCGTTTTCGGGATTTATTGGTAGATAAGCTTGTATTGCAGATTCGAAACAATGGTTCCCGAACGAAGGTTTCAGATGTCCTGCGCATTGACATTCCGATCATGGCACATTNTCGTGAATGGTGAGTCAACATGAGTCGAGAACAGTGGTCGAAAGTTTTTATTGATACGAGTGAATGGAGTGTCTGTGAGAGCGAAAGAAAGTGTCTCGTTCATCATCAGTTGTTATTCATTGGAGTGTAGCCTACGCTGTGAAACCACGTACGACAGGTGAGCGGTGGTGGCAATTGATAACAGAAGAATTTCAATGCGACAAATCATCATAGTTTATTAGTCCTGTGGTAAAAGTTTGCGGGTTAACTACTTCCGTGGTCTCATCGAACTCGTAGAAGCCGAAGTTTTGTCCGGTTTTTCACATACTACTTAAAATCTTTTCAGTATAATCGTGGTTTGTTTTGCTCCCTGCGCAAGGTGGGGTTTTTTCGCCACCACTTACTAGAATGTCTCATAAATAGAAGAGCAACTTCGCTGGTCGGCGGTTTAACTGTCTCCCGGTTCAGTATCACACCTAACCTGGTGGAGCCTTAATTAGTTCGCCACCCGAAGTCCCGTAGCTTAGATTGCCGGTCTTCATAACTGAGCAATAAGTCTTCGCAATTGTAAAGGTCCATCGCGTCTGCTGTTCACCACACACGAAATGTGTGTAATTAAAAACGCGCATTATCTCTGGCCTAGTAGCTATCATAAGACGAAGAAAGCTCTTACTTCTTTCTGTTTTGACCAGAGACAGTCGCGTAGGTTGACAAGATTGTCGGTAGGGTTCAATCGGCATAAGTCAACGTCACACTTGCCCCTATCTATTCATGTCTACTGGCAACCTCATCCTTCTCAAAAGCTGATCGAACAGTGACCTAGTTAACAAAAGGATGTGAAGTAACTGACATCGAAACTAGCACACCAATGGAGCAGGTTCACTTTGATAGTACCGAAAAACTATACCATTTTAAGATTGATTTGAGAAAGTATCACTTTAATTTACGAAATCATCTGTTTGAATTGAGAAAGAAACGCTGTGGTTGTATCCGATTCCGTTTAGCACATCCCATTATAGTATATGCATACATATTTCACACCCGTATGAGGTCAAAAAGTGTGACAAATAAATCATGTTAGAAAAATCTTGATTAATGACACGTTTTTCGACCCCTGGATTGACAACCTGTCTTCCCACGCTCTTTCTGTGTTGAAGTAAAGCAACTTCAGTCGTGCATGTTGTTCAGCTCAACCACGGATGTCGAGTTGGCCGGTCGATGAGGACGTGCTATTTGCGCGAGGCGCAGCTAAGCTGGCCCCGACTCGATCAGCATGAAGTGTGTGTGTGACGCACTGTTTCATGCGCGCTACAGCTACAGTGCAAGTGGTCGTAGTTGCCCGGGTATTGACGACAGCTCAATGGCCAAAGTGAACCACAGTAACTACGACCAGATACGGGTTCAGCGCTTACAGCGTAATCCGAGCGATGCGCTTTTCATGACGTGATCGACGGGGCCTATTCGAATAACACAATTTGCTGAGAGGCTGAAGTTGAAGTTATTAGGGGTGAAAGTTGGTGATTGGGCTCTTTTTTATCAATGGCCTGTCTACCACAACCAGTTATTCGTGAACTGTAACTCGCCCATTCCCGGCTCAATAACTGTTCTAACGGAACCGAACAGAATGCAATCGATTATTTTTTTGATAAAAAGTTATATTTTGGTATTTAAAAGCGGACGATCGTTGCCAGGGGAAATGTTGCTGCACAAAGAACTTCCATAAATTACGTAACATTACAGCGGACTTTTTTCACAATCTCGCTTTTAGCCAAGAGTCTGATGGTACAAATACTAATGACCGCGGTGGGCACTCTAAGAATGAAGTGTAATAATCTAACGGCAGATATGCCAAATAATTCCATGGAACTAAACACCAGTCCTTTCTATATTGAATTTGTTCGCAAAGGCAGTTACATTTTGCCTGGTAGACTAGCTGATACATGTGGTAATGTATACATCAGTGTAATAACTAAGAAGGAAAAATGGACGTTTCGGTCGATTACTTGAGAATTTTGAGCGAATTATTATTAAGGCTCTTTCCCCTTCCGTTAATCTCGATGATTCCAATCCGTTTGCCTATAGTATCCCAGAGCCAAAGGCGTTCTCATGGGATGTAGTAGAAACTATCGGTCACGTGGTCAGTTTCGGTTTGCACGGTCAAAAGCGTTACCTTTCCAGGGCCGATTTCGGTCTTGGCACATTTCGTCGACCAAATTCGGAAACATTGAAAAATTTTGAGAACAGTATGAACATAAAAATGCAGAACAGTGGAACAACCGGGTGTATGAAGAAAGGAAGTACATATGCGAACAGTCCTATGTATGACACAATGCTTCTAACCATTGAGTAAGCTGTTCGCCCTTCCCTGGCGGAACCCCAAATACGATCTATTTAATCAATTCACCCGAACTGAGCTGCGATGGTGGACTACATCATTTCAATCCAGCGATAACAAATACCGAACTTTGGCGTAATCGGGACCCAAGTGCGGATTGCTATAAAAAAGTTAACATTGGCAAGAACCTTCAGCAGTACACATTGACAAAATACACGGATTCAAACCTGGACTCGGGGCATTGTTTGTTAAATGAGTCACACATTGAAGCTCCCTGGGCATGCACTAAAAGGAGGAGTTTATACTACACGACGCAGCACTTATTCATCGAGCATGATGGTTCCTTTATAGGGACGAAACAACTGCAGACTGTTTCTTAGACTTCAATGGTTGGTGAAATATACGGTGTACCTAATGAATCCACATTTCACGAACCATTTATTGGGTTCTGCACCAGATACTCATGAAACGTAGCGCTGCTCACGATTTTCTTACCATAAAAACTGTGATTTGGTGTGACAGATGTGCGATCGAGCGTTTCTGCTGTTCATACACCTGGACCCCCGATGTGTAACACTAGCATATAGTCAAAAGAAACTAAGGATGGCGTGTCGACGAAGATACTGCTTATAGCACACCGGCTGCGAATAACCGTTGAACTTGATACTTTTCACTCTGATTCTGATTGGTTTTCAATATAAGCTTGCCTCTCTTCTGATAGTGGCCGATTGTATATAGTTCAATTTTCCCGCTAGGTCTAATTATAACACAATTCTTCGCCAGATTGTGCAAAGTTGATCAAACTGCAGGATTCAATAGGCTGTTTCTTTAAGGGAACTATAATTTTCTAAAATTAGTTTTTTTTGTTATTGTTATCTCTTTAAAAATGTCTCATATCGATATCTAACCCCACTCTCTCCTTTGTTCTCGTATGCAGTGTACAGTAGTTTTCTACAACCGCTTTTTATGCGACAGCAGTGCGCACTCTTCACCTAATGTATTCAACGGGAACAAAACATTCTTCTGTGATTTGTATTTGCTCTAGTAATCTCACTTTTTTTATTGTGGTTTCGTTCCCCCGGGTTTATTCTAGCTTTTCCTCTGCCCGTTTGTGAGCCGCGCACTACGAGACCCGTATTAGCATTCGGCTTGCCTGCCTCGATATCCGCGTGTGTGTCGTGTTTGTTTTGTCCCCGAAAAAGCGGGTTAGAAACAGTAAAACAAACACAACCGGGTCACTCATGCACACTGCGATTTCGTCAGCCCTGTGTGTACGAGTGAAAGAGGTTGGTGGACCGTTTGTGCTAAAAAAACGACTATTAGACACCTGGCATCGATCGAATTCCCGGTGACGGACCGCATGTTCACATCTGTTGTCATTTTCGATCAATTTCTGTCGACTATACGTCGTTGTGACCGAAGATGTTAAATAGATTGATATTACGGAAAAGTGGTAGTTTATACGGAAAATGTTGTTCACTTTTGCTCAATACATTAATCTTTATCGTCCAATGAGGTAGTTTAGCAATTCCAGCGTGAACCATTTCCTCATCTATCTAGCTGTCATGATCAGAGGTAGTGACATCGCCACCCCCACCCCCTCTCCAATGCGTATTGTGATGACTATGGCCCAAAATTTGTCAATTTCGTGCATAAATTTCACAATTATTCAAATGTTATATATCAAAACTGAATGAGTCCAATCACTGTGATCCAGCCGTTTTTTTTTTTGGGGGGGGGGGGTCGATCACCACTCATCTACAATCTGCCGCAGCTTCCTTATCGAATATGGTTTGTGCAACACAAATAAACGGGAAATTCCCTTAAGGTGGATAACATGAAGATCACAGTTTTATAATCCGAATGATAGAAACACAGTGGCGGTGAAGATAAATTATATGTTCTGTTTCGATTAGGCCAAGGATAATCACTGTGGGATAGTAAAGTGTCATAGGAAAAGTGTATGTACTGATAAAAAAGAACGTATTCCACTATATGCCTAATATGTGATATGAGGGAACACACGTTCAGAGGTGAGTAGTTGTTTTCGTTCATTC